CCTGGGCCCCTCATGCCTCCATAAATATAGCTAAATCTTACTGTATTCAAGCCTGAAGCTGTAACTCTGCATGCTGTTTGACTCAGAAAAACAAGCAGTCTGCTGACATCATCAGAAGTGGTGGCCTGATCCAATCACAATGCTTCCCCATAGGATTGGCTAAGGCTGACAAGGAGGCAGATCAGGGGCAGAGCCAGCATGATTCAAACACAGCCCTGGCCAATCAACATCTCCTCATAGAGATGAATTGAATCAATGTATCTCTATGAGGAAAGTTCAGTGTCTGCATGCAGAGGGAGGAGACACTGAATGTTTGGATGCATTTTAGGCAGCCATGACCCAGGAAGGATCTCTAACAGCCATCTAAGGAGTGGCCAGTGAAGTTATCACTAGCTGTAATGTAAACACTGCATTTTCTCTGAAAAGACAGTGTTTACTGCAAAAAACCTGAATGTAATGATTCTACTCACCAGAACAAATTCAATAAGCTGTAGTTGTTTTGGTGACTATATTGTCCCTCTAATAGCATGCAAGTTTTCATTGTGTATATCTACTTTTATTTATTTTGCATTTGGGCAGCGGAGTGTCCCTTTAAGATCTTGATAACTAAGCAATGGAAATCACCTTGCAGTTCAAGCAAATACTGACACTTTTGACACATATACGTCAAATGGAGTACATTTCGCACAATGCAAAAATACATTACAAAAGTTTAAGGGACCAAAAGAGAACCAAAACAGCAAACTATACTCTTGGACCCTCCTCCCCCACCCATCCTTCAAAAAAAGCGATATACGGCAGATGCACATGCATGCTTATTTTAAAATTTCGTTAAACTTTATGGACTTTGTTAGATTAATTTCACTGTCAAATATACATATTTATTTAAACATACAGTATATAGAAACAAAAACAACATGTCATATTTGAGAATTACTGTATATATGTTAACATCTGAAATACTGATGTCTCTATATGAAACGTAATCAATCAAGAAAATGCTATATAACAGAATTTTAAACAATAGAATGTACTTCAAACATGTAATTATATTTACCATATATATTATTAAACAGGGTGTAACATAATGACTCCATCAAGCCCAAATCCGTGTTAATGAGTACCAGAGGTGATAGTCTGCTCGTTGTCAAAAGCGTATAAAAGCAGTGATATGCTTGTATGCGAAATATATTTAATTTTTACTTTTAAGTGACAACTGTTCAACAAGTTCATCAAACAGCAGTGATTCATTATTTTTTTTTACATATACTTAAAGGAACACTATAGTCACCTAAATTACTTTAGCTAAATAAATCAGTTTTAGTGTATAGATCATTCCCCTGCAATTTCACTGCTCAATTCACTGTCATTTAGGAGTTAAATCACTTTGTTTCTGTTTATGCAGCCCTAGCCACACCTTCCCTGGCTATGATTGACAGAGCCTGCATGAAAAAAAAAAATGGTTTCACTTTCAAACAGATGTAATTTACCTTAAATAATTGTATCTCAATCTCTAAATTGAACTTTAATCACATACAGGAGGCTCTTGCTGGGTCTAGCAAGCTATTAACATAGCAGGGGATAAGAAAATCTTAATTAAACAGAACTTGCAATAAAGAAAGCCTAAATATGGCTCTCTTTACAGGAAGTGTTTATGGAAGGCTGTGCAAGTCACATGCAGGGAGGTGTGTCTAGGGTTCATAAACAAAGGGATTTAACTCCTAAATGGCAGAGGATTGAGCAGTGAGGCTGCAGGGGCATGTTCTATACACCAAAACTGCTTCATTAAGCTAAAGTTGTTCAGGTGACTATTGTGTTCCTTTAATTTGAAAATCTTTTTCCTTTCATAACTTGATGAAAGAATTACTATGTTACTATGAGGTCACAGTTGTCCTTTAAGTTTTTTATTTTATTTCTTATGACAAATTCGGAATGAAGGGTGTAAAGCACAAAATATGTAATGCCCTTTATGTGCGTCATATATTCTCTGATGTTGTGGCACTTCCAGACCCTGCTGGGTAGTTTTTGCACATGACTTAAATTAATGATCAAACACAACCAATGACCCCACCAATTGCTAGACACATGTATTTACAGTAAGCACAAAAAACCTTAAAGAATGCTGCTGAATTCCGCAGAAACATATTCCGGACCTACTCTATTATCAAATCATTTAAAGATCCTGTAAGGGAATTGGCATTGTAATTATTATAAATCCTTCTTCTTTACGGTTTAAAAGTAAAATCGGAATTTCTGGATTGTCACTGAAATCCTTTTACTTACTATATTCCACAGTGAAAAATATCACAAGATTTTCACTTACTTTTTCAACATATAAAACAAAACAGCCAAGTGTTTATTCACTAAACTCTGAACCGTAGAAAATTAAAATACGAATAGCAAAATTGAGGATAAAATAAGTTTTCCAGATCAGCTGTTTTTTTCTGCAGTTTTGCCGTTCGGATTTTAATTTGCCTTAAATTGTAGTTTAGTGAATAATCCCTGTTAGAGTTATTTAAAGTGAATTCAAAGTAAAGTTAAAATATAAAAAAACTGATGCTAAAGTAGCTGAATTGAAATTATAGCTTATGTGGAGAATTTCATCCATCTTGGATATTTCGGCCTAACATTTGAAATTCACACTTAGAGGACCACTATAGGCACCCAGACCACTTCAGCTTAATGAGGTGGTCTGGGTGCCTGGTCCAGCTAGGGTTAACCCTTTTTGCCCCGGTACCAAATCGGGCAAAACCGTCGGGTTCCGTACAGGGGTACTCACACTGCAAAAACTGGACATTATTTACAAGATATTTAACAATGACCGGATTTTGCAAGCCAGATTTGTGTCTGCCTGTTTGGCTGCTGCTGGAAAGTTGAAATCCGGGCCTGAATTACAAATATCTAAACTATTTGTCTCCTGAATGCTAGCACTGGTTACAAAAAACCTCGGCGGTGCAGGGTTAAGTTATGTTTTGGCTGGCCAACTAGCTACCACAGTAATAAATTAAATGAAGGCCTACGGAGGTCAATGTGACCCTCATTTATCTACCAGGAGATTTAAAGCGGCTCTGTCACCTCATATCAAAAAATTAGCATTTCACAAAGATAGATAGCATTTCACTCAAATTCCTTCAGCTCAGTGAAGTGGTCTGGGTGCACTGTCCCAAGTTCCTTAACCCTGAGCAGATAATTATTGCAATTTACGATAAACTGCGATAATGACTTTGCAGGGTTAACTCCACCACTAGTGACTGCAGGAGTGTACCTAGAGTATCCGGCACCTGTGACGGATCCTGCGATTGGTACACCTCCCCCCCTTTAAAATGTAAATAAAAACCAGCAATAGTTTTATGTTTTTATGAATTTATATATATATATATATATATATATATATATATATATATATATATATATATATATATATATATTAAAATACATTAGGAATAAAAATATATATAAACATATTTATTTAGCTAGTTCTAATTAAAGGGACAATATAGTCACCCAGACCACTTCAGCTCAATGAAGTGGTCTGGGTGCCAGGTCCCTCGGGGTTTAACCCTTCACATGTAAACATAGCAGTTTCAGAGAAACTGCTATGTTTACATAGCAGGGTTATTCCAACCTCTAGTGGTTGTCTTCCTGACAGCCGCTAGAGGCGCTTCTGCGACGCTGGATGTGAAATTCGCATCCAGCGTGCAGAACGTCCATAGTAAAGCATTGAGAAATGCTTTCCTATGGACTGTTAGAATGCGCACACGGCTCTTGTTGTGCATGTGCATTCCGCTCCACTCGGGAACTGATGTCAGCGGGGGAGGACAGGTCCTGCCCCACCCTCCCTTCTGCAAAGCCCCCTGCCCCCTTCAACAAGAACCTCTGCCCCCCCCTTTTAAAAATTACCTTCCCACCTCTACAAACCCCGACCCCCCTCTCTACAAACCCCTTCTCCCCCTCTGTACAAAAGCCCTGCCAGACAGCTACTAGTAAGATTTCCGGGCCGTTAGGTGACTTTTGGTCATCTGATGCTGGACTTCTTCACACTTTGCATGAGGATGTCCAGCGTCACCCAAAACCCCACAGATGATTTCCTATTGGGGAAGACCTAATGTGACTGGCGCGCCTGTGAATTGGCCTCCCACCCCGCCAGCTGACGTCAGCGGATGAGGAGGAGCGGAGTAAGAGTCTGAACCATAATCAGATAAGTGATTTAAGGGGTTTTTAACCCCGTCATCAACATGGAGGGGAGAGGGCGCAACAGAGGGGGGGCACTATCGGGAGCTATAGTACTAGGAAAACAACTTTAAAGGGACACTCCAGGCACCCAGACCACTTGGAGTGGTCTGGGTGCCATCTCCCATCACCCTTAACCCTGCAAGTGTAATTATTGCATTTTTATAAACTGCAGTAATTACCTTGCAGGGTTAAGTCCTCCCCTAGTGGCTGTCTATCAGACAGCCACTAGAGAGACTTCCGGGTTCTTAAAACCCGAAAAAGTGTTTTAAACGCCGCTGGACGTCCTCACGTTATGCATGAGGACCACCAGCATATGTCTACTGTCTACTAAATAGCTAGCTCTCTTCAGATAACATCAAATCCGAAAGGTCGGAATGACAAGCTACTACTAATGGAGGATTTATGGCCATTATGGACACTTCCCTTGCTTGTGAAGCAGCATTATAAGCAGCAATATAAATACAAATTTTTGAAAAATACACAATGAAAGAAATAGAGAATTTCATACTTTCACAATACAGACATAATAAGAATAATTATAATTATATGGTGATCTTCCAAACCTGCATCTGGTAATGCTCACTAAATCTCAAAGTGGAAGAATGGGAGTCTAGGTATTGGCTGGGAGAAGAGTACACTCCCTGTAATAACTATAAACTGGGCTTACAGGAGAGTAATATCTTTTATTGTTCTCAATACATTTTCAATGTGTTCTAGAATTAGAGCACACAGGGTGGTAAATCCAAGCATGCAGCATTGGAGGTGGGCTGTCATCTGGTCATGTGATGCCGGTGGGCGTGGTTACATATGCAGAGGGCAGAGCAAGGAAAAGAGGCAGAAAGAAAGGTGTAGAGTGCTTGCAAGGAACACAGCTCAGCAAGGCTCCAGAGAGAAGTACACTGACAGGGAGCCAGGCTGTACAATACCAGCATTTGCCCTCCTCACCCTAAGGGACACAGCCTGGCAGGAAGACAAACAGCCTGTGATGTGAAGGTGAGCAATCCACACTGATGACCTCTTTATTTCATTCTTGCCTGCAGAGCTGACACTCTGGAGTAGGAATAATCAGAAAGGCATTACCCTATCTGCTGGGAATCTACAACTCCCATGATGCTTTGCCAACCTAACCTAAAGCTGGTGGGTGGTGGAGTGCTAGCTCTTGGGCAGCCATGTTATGTAGGTCATGCAGCACACTCTACATGTTTAATGCCCTTACCATACCCCTTTTCATATGAAAGGGAGATCATTCCACAGTCTAAACATGTATATTTTTTGTATTAAAAGAACCAGTGCTTTGTACCCCAGGCTGTATCTAGTGCTGAGTGATGGATATGGGACAATAGGGGGTAGAGTGTTTATTGATGGTACTGTTTGGGGGGTTGGTATGAGGATTGAGGGGACTTGTGTTGAATCAGTATCTGCAGGAAACAGCTGCTTGCAGGACAAAAGCTGAAGATCAACAACTAAAATAAGGTGAGAGGGGGGAGGGAGGGTACACAGCTTGGGGGAGGTTTAAAGGGACTGAGGGGAGGTGCATGGATGCACAGGGGGGGCTGACATAGGAGTTAGTTTCCAACTTGTTTATCCTATTGCTTTTTCTTCACTTGCACACAAAGTGTTTTTGCCAAGTGCTGGGACAAATTCTTAGAATTACATTGTGTAAAAATTAAAAACTTTGCTTCAGTTGAGGTTTAACCCAGTGTGGACTGAGCTATGAAAGCTGAAAATGTTAAAAAATTAATTTTAAATAAAAGATGCTAACCGTTTACTTAATGGTAGGTTTAAATATTTGCTGCTGGAAAGGGGGGTGAGGCAACAAAACTCAAATTTCATCTGTGGTTTATGTCCCTGCAAATACTTCAAGCTGTAAGTGATACTGGGTCCAGTTCCAGAAGTTACCCTACTGAGAAACACATGTTATTGGTACCCAAATAGGGCTGCAGGAGGCTGGTCACATGGGCTCCATTTGGTAAAGTGAGAAAATGACTGCAGGAAGGTGGAGTTAACCAGAATTTTGGTCCTATATTGCAATTAAGATAAACTTCTACTGTAGAGTTATTGGGGTTTATTTGCTAAATGCCGAATTGCAGTGAATTGAAAACTGGATTGGATTTATATAGCACCAACCTATTCCGCAGCTTTTTATTCTGTAGGTACGCCTGGCTTGTAGATGATAAAGCAAAATATTCTGGAAACAATAGAAGTCAATGTAGAATCTCATGTATGACCGCCCTGAATGTTATGTGACTATTGTGCATTGACCTGTTTTCTTAATTGAAATGGAGTGTGACATGACCGATGCTATCTGCTCTCCTCAGTGGGATTATAAACCGGTGACATAACTGTTCGTAATGACGGTGCTGGCTTGATGGGTTTTAGGGATCCACTTAATTTCTACTCTGAGGCCTAGGCAGGACTATAAAAATCATATAGATTGAAAGGCCCTTTTTTATTTTATTTTATTTTTTATTTTCCCCCTTAATTTACGTCTTTCTCAATGAGCTTAAATTCATTTTGGGCAGACTTATGACATTTTTTCCTCCTTTTGGTCATCCCCCATCCATCTTGCACATACATGGGCCTGTGTACTGAAATGCAGACACTAAAGTGATACTTGTCAGGAATTCAAAGTGATTTAAAACAAAAAAAAAATTTTTAATGCAAAGCCAAAAGAGTCCAATTGGAAGGATAGCTCACTAGGACGATTTTTCAACTTTGGACTTAAAATTTTAAATTCACTTTGAATTCTTGACTTTTCTCAATTTAGTGAATAACCCTGTGTGGATAACAGATACCCCTGGCCCTTGGACAGTCAGTATTCGTATTCCGTGAAAGAGATGAACCGGTATACTATAATTATCTGCCCTTATTGCTTCTTTTGGCAGTGCAAAGTTAAAGCAACGCAGAGATCAATGATGGTCCCAGATGGTAACTAGGTAGCTGCTGGATTATGGAGGAGGGGGGTTATATTGTTAACTGCGTAAATAATCCACACAATGACACGTCCTACATACTAAACCCCCTGGTTTTAAGGGACAGTCATACATTTCGGTTAAATGCTTCAGGCCGTTTCATTGTGTCACAGGATATTTAATGTTTACGTGTTCCCTGTATTTCACAGATCATGTGTTTTGTGGTGTCTGATAAATAAATGAAAGCGTCTCTGTCGCTTCAAGTTTACATTTCCTCAATTAATATTTTTATTTTTATTTGTATTTTTTTTTTTTTTATCTCCTCTTCCCCCATTAAATTTTTTTTAAAATTTAATACATAAGGCAAAGCAGGGACTTATTGGTGGGATGTAGCTGTTACAGCAGCTTTAACCCTTTAAGGACCAAACTTCTGGAATAAAAGGGAATCATGACATGTCACACATGGCATGTGTCCTTGAGGGGTTAAAGGACCACTATAGTGCCAGGAAAACAAACTCTTTAGTGTACTATAGTGTTTAGTAACACTATAGTGTTAATAGGTCCCCCCACCCTCATGGCACCCCTCCTGCCGGGATTAAGAGGGGTTAAACACTTACCTTTCTCCAGCGCCAGGCTCCCTCTGCGCTAGGGACTCTCCTCCCTCTTCCGACATCATCCCCTGAATGCGCGTGCGCAATGCTTTCCTATGGACGGCAGCGTCTTCTCACTGTGAAAATTGAATTAATGCATCTCTATGGGGAGCGTGCAGATGCTCAACGCCAGTGCTGCACCCAGGATGCGCCTCTAGTGGCCGTCTGAATGACAGCCACTGGAGGTGTCCCTAGGCAGTAATGTAAACCCCTGCAGGGACATGCTATACACACCAGAATAGCTACATTAAGCTGTAGATGTTTTGGTGACCATAGTTTCTCTTTAAGGTAAATTTAATAGAAAGCAGAGTATTTCATAATAGGTAAACTCAAGTTAAAGGTGATTTTTATTCAATGATGTAATTTCCAAAGTAGTAGTGCTTCAAAATAGTAATGATTTTATAAAAATATATATTTTTAAAAATCTATAATTAAAAGTAAAAGTTTTGTGGTTTGGTTTTAAAATATGGAACTATGTGACCAAAGTTTTTTTTGAAACTTATAACAAAGTTCAACCTTTGTAGGTATTTGGAAATGTGACTGTGTAATATTACACTTAATGTATGTTTATATTATAAATTCAGAGCCAATGTTATAGATGCTGTTTGTAAGGATTGGTTAATTTGTGTGGTTTAAGCATATCCAATTATTAAGTACACTATTGGACATTTGCAGACTATTGGAATGCGCACATCAGTGTCCACACCTATCCCATGTTATCTGTCAAAGGAGGAACACTAATGTGTATTCTTAATTCTATAGTGCCCTGGTGGCTGTTTACGTGACCGCTCCTACCTTTTGGGAAGAAAAAATACATTTTACTTAACCTTGTCTCCATGGCTGAGGTCATTTGAGGTGGTAGGTCGCAGCCAATCAAATGCTTTTCCCTAAGAAAGCACTGGGAGGCTAGTGCACAAATGCATCAAAACGCTGCACTGCGCCAATCAAATGATCTTTCTGACAGCGAGTAGAAGCATTTAAAGGGACACTATAGTCACCAGAACAACTACAGCTTATTGAATTTGTTCTGGTGAGTAGAATCATTACCTTCAGGCTTTTTGCTGTAAACACTGTCTTTTCAGAGAAAATGCAGTGTTTACATTACACTAGAGTGGCCTTTTATTGTGCCCAGCCTAAAATACACCTGTGCAATACTCATGCTGTCTAATCAGCATCATGATATGCCACACCTGTGGATTATCTCGGCAAAGGAGAAGTGCTCACTAACACAGATTTAGACAGTTGTGAACAATATCTGAGAGAAATAGGCATTTTGTGTACATCGAAAAAGTCTTTGCTCTTTGAGTTCAGCTCATAAATGTGTGTGTGTGTGTGTGTGTGTGTGTGTGTGTGTGTATGTATATATATATATGTATATGTGTGTGTGTGTGTATTTATTTTCTCGTCTATCTCTTACCTGTAAGCCAGCAGTAAGACTTTGCTCACCGCAGCTTCTCTTGAACCCATAGGAGATCACTGGTACTCATGCACAGGTGCATGCGCAACCATGCAATGATTCTTACAGAGAAACATTGAAATGTAATTCTTCTCATAGAGAAGAATTGCCTTCTTCTATTTGCTGGGGTACAAAGCAATTAAGAAGAGCAGCCTGACAGCTTGGATGGTGCAACCTTGTCACTTTATAGACGTGCCAATTTTTCTTGAAATTGACTCTTCCAAAGTGCCAAAGAGGGGGCACTCTCAGTCCTTAAAGTGAACCTGTAATGGAAAAAAATGACTTGCTTTAAATCGCTTCCATATCAATTGAATACACCATGTATTATAAGGATACATGGTATATTAAATGTAAAATATGAAGATTTATTCACGCATTCTCCGTCCAATGCCAATTCATGGGTAGTTCATCATGTAATGCCCACTTACTGGCAGTCTTCTGCTCCGCATCTGTTCTTTGACGAATCCCCTAGCAGGGAAAATCTAGTCTGTTACGTTGGCATGATGACTTTGTTGCCAAATTGCCGGCTGTACATCCTAGTCGACGCTTTAGCAGTGCATGCGCTGTGATTGCTATCGGAGAGGCAGAGACCTCCTATTGGCACAATGTACTGATAAAATCTTATGCTCAGTCTAATTTGCATGACGGGTGCCCTTGGCAAGTGGAGTGATAATTTAATGCATATAATTACTGAAAAAATGCATTTACCAATCAGCAGGAAAAAAAAATTCATAAGCCCCCAAAAACTT